TGGGTAGTTGCCAATAAGACTGTCTTAATCGCCATGTAAATTTGTTGTTGGCTTTTGTTTTACTTTCCACGCTTTTTTATAAGAAGGCTTATAATAAGCTACTCTTTTGTTGTTTTGATCAAAATCATAATCTTAAAGGTTTGATTTCGGTCCATCATTCCTTCAATGCATTGATATATTAATGTTGAAAGCAATTGTTTGTGGTCTTGGGAGACCATTAGAGAACTACGTGATCTCTTAATTTTGTGCATTTTCTCTCATATTGTATAGTTTCATAGCATAATTAATTTCATTATTGCTAGAAACCAATATAAGTCAATTTGACTTATTCTCTTCCGTAGAAAATTGGGAGTACCTATATAAATAATACTATTTGTAATTATTTACACGATAAATATTGAAAAAAATGACGCTCCTTTATAACAATCATCTGATAGATTAAATATAATATTATATAAATATTACGCTCAAAAGTCCATAGTGATAACATCTGTCCCAGTTCATGCATGAAAATAAATTTGTGAAATGATGGTTAGAGTTACAATGAACAATAATGTACGTATTACTATTCTCATTATTATCATTACTGTACCGAAAACTGATATCTTCTTTCTCGCCCTCACCCTCTTCGTCACCATTAACTTTATCATCATCATCAACATCATTAAAAAAAAAATTAAATTCATTAATTGGTTTTGAATATATTTAACATAAAACTCAATGAATTCTAACAACAAAATTTTATGATATTATCAAACGTAATTGTAAAATAAGCTAACTAAACATAATTATGCTTCGCGAATGAAATTTTAAATATTATTTGAAAAACTACCAACTATTTAGAAAAGAATAATGAACTTGCATCACTAATATATATATATATATATAGATATATATAATATAAAACAACAATCCTTTCCCTTCAAACATTTTGATAATCATTTACCTCAATAGCTACATGTATTATTTGTACTAATTAAGAAAATTTTGAATCTCATTGAACCATGATTTGTTTGAATATACCATCATGGTATTCACACCCAATAAATTACACTATTTGCTTTTTTTTTTTTTTGTCACTAAGACTATAAAACAACATGATTTTGATTTAAGTCTTTAAACAAATAACACTAATAAAAATTAAAAAAATTGCATAACTTAATTAATTAAATGGAATTAACCACTAAATTAGGTTTGACCAAAGAGATTAAGCTAAAACAAATTAAAAAATCTTTAAGAAAATCTTCTATTAAAGCTTCGAAATATTTTTTTTCGATCTCGATGAAAAAAAATTAATTCTTATTTAAAAATTTAAAATATATAAGTTATAAATTATAATAATTATAAAAAATTATAAGATGAAGATAATATTAGTATTGATGTTTATTACTAATAAGAAAATTATTTTATATATTCGAACTAATCAAGATTTAAAAATTCGATCTAAAACCAACCCACTTGATCAAATTCGAACTAGTTTGACAAACAATTTAAACAAAATATTTTAATCAATTTTTTTTAAAAGTTACGAATTTTGTTGCTTTTCAAAAAATAGTAAGTCATTTGTATCGACGAACACTCTTATTATAAGATATATATTTTGTTGTTAGTTTTTAAATTTTTTTTTAAAAAACTTTAAGTAAAATTAAAATTATTTTATTTTAAAAAAGAAATTCAAATAAGACAAAACTATCACTTTAATGCAATTAATTACCCACTGAGTCACTAATGAATCTTGGATCTTCATAAATTATTGTATTAATGTTTAATTTTTTTCAACAATTAAATTTCATAGTTATTAATTATTAAACCTTCTATCTAAACCTTCAACTCCCTAATTTTTATTTTTATTTTTTTTGCAATTTTCAATTTAAAAAAAATGATATTTTAAAAGAGAAAGAGAAAATTAATTAATTTATGAATTTTTAAAATTTCAAAAAATAAATTTAATTTGTTGATTTATATAAAAATAAAATTATTTTTAAGTTTTAATCGGTCAAAAACTTCCAATAAATGTGAGCAAAAGTGAACATATAGAAAATAAGGCGGAGGGCGGCCAAAATTTCTTAAGAGTGGGTCCCACTTCATGTTGACTAATAGACCAAAAAGTCGTTGGGAGTAAAAGCATTGTCCATCCCCTAAGACTCAGCAGCTTCCATTAAACTCCCCCGTTGAAACGCTACTCGAAATGAATGAATGATTTTAAACCTAAACCTAATCCATGCTTCTTTCTACTTGTATTTATGTATGTATGTACGTACGTATAGCTGTATATATATATATATATGTGTGTGTGTGTGTGTGTATAACGTGCATTGACCTTTAGGGTTCATAATTAATCATACTTTTAACTTCACCAATTTATTATGTTTCCATGTAATTTCCTCTTTTAGACTTACTTCTTGTTTGTATCTCGTATAAAATCATAAAACTACCCTAATACGAGATAATAATTAGGTTATATTTATATTTTAAATGACATACAGACATCCGTTTAAATATAGTATTTTAATAAAATATATAAAAATATACTACCTAACTGAAACTCAAAATGTGATAATCACTTT